GGCTAGGAGGTCAACGCTATGATGCACAGCGTTGCTAAGTGCGTGCTAAGTCACTTCAGTCGTGTCTGACTTTTTGCGACCCCATGGGCTGTAGCCCACCAAGGTCCTCTGTCCCTGGGATTCTCCAGGCAAGAATACTGGAGTGGGTTGCTGTGCCCTCCTCCAGGCGATCTCCCCCACTCAGGGATCGAACCTGCATCTCTTATGTCTCCTGCATTGACAGGCAGGTTCTTTGCCACTAATGCCACCTGGGAAACCCCCAAGGCTACTATGGAAAACTATTAAAAGCATTCCATGTTCTTACCAGAGCCCAACCATGCAGGTTTTTATTTGGGTAGTCTTGAGCACACACTTGATTCACTCCTGGCTTGGGGAAATAGAGATATTGGATCCCACGGTGTCACGTTTGCCAGCCACTTCCCAACGAACTTTTGAAGTCAGAGTCAGTGTTATTACCCTGGCGGGCATTGTACCTGGGTTTAGCTGGGCGGGGGCCGGGAGAGGGGGTAAGCAAGAACTGGCAGAAATGCACCACTAGGGGCAGTATAACCTCCACTGCCTCTTCAGCCTGACAAGTCAATGTCCCAGAAGCCTGTACAGTAGGAAGGACTGGGTCAGCATCTGTTGTGACTGCAGTCCTAGATAATAGTTGGGGACTGTTGTTTGGGGGCAGCTTACAGGAGCCTCCCATCTGTACTCTTCACTCCTAAAGTTGGTGGGTTACTCTCAGAGCACGGGGCTGGAAGGTGATAGCTGGGTTGAAGGGGTGGCGCTTGAGGGAATGGCCTCGAGGGAAAGCCTTCTCCACCTTCGAGACTGAGACCCTGCTAATTCATTCCTGGAAATGTCTCAGGAGGGGGTCATGGAGAAACGTTTCAGAGGAGTCCTTGTGAAGCAGCTAGTTATTATTCCTCGTCTTACCGCAACTGATCCCCTCCCTTTACATGTGTTCCAAGAGTTAATCTCCTAAACCCAGCATGGAGAAGAGCTGAACTGATGAGAAGTGGTGATTCAGAGCCCATTATCTGACTCCAAGGTCACGTTCCGTTTCTCTCACCTGTCAGACATGATCTCTGCCCTGCTGACTGAGAGGACATGGATCAGCGTCTCCTTCTGCCTTTATACTGCCTTAAAATCTGAATCCAGTCCTGTTTCATAGGTGTAAAGTCAAGGCATTGGGCAATGTTGCTTCCATGCCCAGCTCCTCTATTTTACCCGTTTGGTAAAAGTGAACCTTCGAGACTGTCCAAGCCTAGAAAGTTGAGAAGACCATTAAAGGAGGGTGAGTGGGGCCAGGTCAGGAGGCTGATTTGGGTTGACTACAGAGGAAGAGAGGGTGGGTCAGTGGTTTCTGGGGTGAGATCCAGACATGCAGGGCAATGTCCTGAGATTGATCCAGGCAGCTTGAGGGAGCAGGGGTTGGAGGTGGGTCGCAGCATCAGGAGATCAGCTGATCTGGCAGTGAGGCAGGAGAGAGGGAAGAAACGTGACTGTTTCCCTAAACCCACACTCTCTTTCCCCTGCTTGGCCAGGGGCACTTGTGGAACTCGGTAGTAAAATAAGTCTGTATCCTCTGACTCCTCAGGGACAAAGTGATCCACTCTCAGCCCTCCTCTCTGTGAGCAAGGCCAGCAACAGTGCTTGTCTGAGGTCGGCTGAAGTAGTTGAAGATATTGCTGAATGCAGGAAATATTTCAGGAGTTTTTTTTTTTTTCACTTTTACGCTGCACCTGGCAGCATGAAAGATCTTCCTTTCCCAACCAAGGATCGAGCCCACACCCTCTGCATTGAAAGCACAAAGTCTTAACCACCAGGGAAATCCCTGAGAATTTTTGCTTTTATTTTCCTTTGCCTTGTATGCCCTTTCACTGTCCTCCTACAGCGGCAAAGTAAACCCAGCTTTGGGCTGACCACAAAGGAGCCTATGGGTACAGCTTCTGCTCTGAGGAGGACAGTGCAGGATGCCATGTCCCACACACTGCCTCCACCCAGGTCTAGGGAAGAGCAGCAAGCGGTGGAATGCCCTTGAGTGGGGGCCAGGGGTTCACGGAGCAGGAGCAGGCCCTGGGCATCAGGAAGCTGGGGGTGCTGGGATTCTAGTTCTTGGGACTCATTTAAAGGCAGGGAGAAAAGAGAGGGTTGGAAAGCATGTCCTCATCTATCACTGGCAGGGAGAGGTTCCTTAGCTGTCCTGGGTCCATCTGTGACCCACACTGAGATCCTGGGCTGAGAGGTATTTGAAAGGCTAAGTATCAACAACCTCTTTAACAAGTGGTGCTGGGAAAACTGGTCAACCACCTGTAAAAGAATGAAACTAGAACACTTTCTAACACCATACACAAAAATAAACTCAAAATGGATTAAAGATCTAAATGTAAGACCAGAAACTAT